CTTTCTTCCAGAATTATCAATAAAATTGACCAAATATAAAGACCCTCTTATAGAATAAACTAGAGCATGACCCTATACATCAATATATACTAAATCCAACTTCTTTAACTTCACCTTTAAAACATCTTTGAGAAACTCAACTTCTATTGCTTTTCATATACACAATCTTCACAAAAATTTAAATTTATAAATTTTAAACTAGAAAAGTTTTTTTAAGTAAGAAGTGAATGTATACATTTCTTACTCATATAGCCAATCCTATGACGCTAAAGACCTCTATCAATATTTGAATTAGCTATTCTAATAGAATATGATAATTTGTTAATAACATATACAATGCCTTCAATACTACCATGAGTTATAAGCAAAGCTCATATTTTCACCTTCTATAAATCTCTTTTGAATGATGTTACATGGCCTAAGTTTGTAAATTAACTCACAATAACTTTTTTTTTTTTTAAATAAGGAATATATTTAACATTCTTAAGTCTCCAAGTTTACATATTTGACATTCTGATTTCAACATCTCCCTATCCTATAATATTGTAAGGTTTGTTATCTCCCAAATATATTTTTGTTAGATTACCTTGAGTGTAGTCGTTGAATACATCCTTATTAAAACTTAAATAAAATGAAGAATATGAATCTATAAGCTAAGATTTAGAATTATCCATAGAAAAAAATAAGAGAATCACTTTAAAACTCTTATGTATATGCGGACTCAAAAAATTTGCGCCCCAGCCTCTCTGCAGAACCGCCCCATGGGGATGGTGATGAACTAGATCAAGGTCCCATAGTTCCATTATCTTGGGCCATCATGTTCCCTAGTCTACTTAGTCAGAGGAGGTAGTCGACCCAACTTCATAGGAGGATCCTTATTGGCAGTCATGGGGGTTTCTTTGTTTAAGGGTATATCTCATAGATCTTTGGTAGATATTACCTAAGGTGTTAAATTTGAATCCACCTTAAAAAATAGAGGTTTTATGCCATATCGATCATATCCTATTGATTAATTACTCACTGATTTAAACTCATTAGGGACCATATAAGCTCTGACCATAACCATAATTTAATGGTGCTCTTTGGCAGCAAGACCACCCGATTCCATGTCATAATCATACATGCAATTTCATTTAGTGGAAAAATCATCAGTGTGGTGTCATTTGGTGGCGAAACCACCGGTTAGAGGACACATGCCATATCATTACTAATAAGAGATAGATTAAAAATGAAGACATTAGCTCTTTGTAAGTTGAAGTAGTTTTCATATTTGTCCACTACAGCAAACTTTTATGTATGATGGATGTGTATTTTACTTTAAGTGTTTAGATGATTTATATCAATTTTAAAAATTTTATTTTTTGTATTTTTGGAATTTTTAATTTTAATGGGCATTTGGAAATTTTGTGAGGCATGCATTTTTATATATTTGTGGTCCCCTCTAGTTGAGATTTTTATCAACATGATCATCATCAGGGTTATACTGGTGGTTATATTTTTTAATTAAACTTTATCAACTCTGTCAAATTTTTAAAAGAGGATTGAGTTCAAATCTAAATTCATTTTTAACCCACGCATCATCATCAAGCATCATATGTATACCTACGACATGCTCATTATTGCCCATACGAGTATATATTATTGAATACATTTTGTATGATACATTTATATGATTATTATATGTAGGCATGATATTATTAGAATAAAGCACTTTGTATATTACACATGTATGCAGGAGGATTTTTAGAGTGTAATTACAATGTCAAATAACATGTTTGAATGAAACCCTCAATATGTCATATATATATATATATATGAGAGATCATTTTAAATTATTATTGCACTATCAACTAACATGCATGAATTCAATCCTCTACATCCTAATGATATATGTTGGAGGTTATTTTAACATAAAATTATAATGTCAGAGACATACTTGAATAAAAATATCTACATCCTACAAATATAAATAGGGGGTTGTTTTGAATTATGATTGCAATGTCATCTGACATGCTAGAATGAAACCCTCTGCTCATTTCCAATACATGGATATTATGGAATGCATATTAATGTGTATTTTAATGCATAAGAGGGGTGTTTTGCATGAATATTATGCCTACTATAATGCATATACAATGGGATTTTAAAATATTTAGTACTAATTAATTGTGCGGCCAATTATAGTTTGAAGGTGCATAATATTATATTTAGAAGCCTATATATGCCTTCAATCTGTTTATATGAGGGTTGCAAATCCGATGGTGTGATGCATTGTGCTTTAATGGTCCATAATTTTTTAATATTGATTCCCTACTTTTGCTCATAGGTGAATCGTAGCATTGCATTCAAAATAACCATGAGACACTACTTTATTGTTATGATGTAATCCTCATCTTCTCATATTTTGAGAGATCAGATCCATGAGTCATCTTATCCCTACTTAGATTGAATGAGGACATCCAAATTGTGTGAGGTTATTTTATGATAGATGAGGGGTATCATAATCTAATGAAACCAAATACTAGGCTGATGTACTATTAACAAGATTTCTTGGTCTCTACTTCATCACAAAGAAGTCTCCTCGAAGCATGAACTGGATAAAACACTTGATAGTTTTTAGTATCTGAACGACATTCTAACATTTGATATGTATATAGGATGTGAAGGCTTTTTCTATAGCCTTTAACATGGCGACTAAGAGCAGCTCCTTTCAATCTACAACTGCAGATTTTAATGGTGCATGTGTAGGATATTAGGTTGTGATGTTTGATCTCCAGGTATTTATTCTTTATTCAAATAACATGGCATTTCTTCAGAAGCCTCATTATTTCTAAAGAGATTATATAATGAGAATTTTTTTTTCAATTGCTCATTTTTTTATTCTACAAAATCACTCATGAAATCATAAAATTTTGCATGCTTAGTGTCACAGTTAGGGCCTTTATATGGTAACATGTCAGTGAGATCGATCCTTACACCAAGTTTCCTTTATTCCTATTGTCACTATCAATGTCTCTAGAGTTATCAATTAGAGGACTTAGTTATACATGGTCAATAAAACCTTCAAGTCCAATGTACGCTTAGTGTGCTTCTTGTCATTAGGGTTGTTGATTGCGAGGATTTTTTACAGTGGCTCATAGACGCTTTCACCTACTATAGCCCTCCTATGTTTGATGTGATCTTCAGTCCTTGCTCACACATATTATGTTTCTTATGACCTATGTTCACAGAGGACCCAACATTCCTACATCATATTTATTATCACTACTGCTAGTGGATGTTTTGCAGGGAGCATTATCATTTACAAACAGGCATTGTGCGTCAACATGCTAATATACAAATAGTGTAGCATTTCTCAAGAAGCATTAGTATTTTTGAAGACATGACAGAATTGGACATTTTCTTCAAAGACTCATTCTTTGACTCTATAGAATCATTTAATTTTATATGTTATATGTACATGTCAGCAAATAGCACTATCATTTGTCGGTAGCCTTTCTGTGTTCATTACTATGCTAATGTAGGCCACCAATTGAGTTACATTCCTCACTGATTTCTTGTGCATGTTAGCCGATAATTAATCCTTCAATACACATATGTATGATCTTCTGCTCGTAGGGTATTATTGATATGAATATTGCACATTAATTACTTGATCCTTGCTTGTGATGGATCAATGCATCTACTTGACATCGATTAAACATTGACTATTGGGAGTATTTGACATCTGCTGCATATTATTTGTTGTCATCAGTAGGTGAACTTTTGTTGGCATGATAAACCCCCTCTAGTTACTTGTAGGTGTTCGTACCTATAGTGAGCTCTTGGTTCTTATTTGCATATGAACCGCAACATCGTAGATCTACTACTTATATATCCATTGTAGTTTCTTCGATATACTCGTAGGGAACTCATTTCACCTCTTAGTTGATGATGCATCATGTAATTGATCATTGCTACTTGCGTAGTTGCATGTGTTTGCTCACATGTTGAAGTTGCCTGTAGGGCATTATTGCATCCACTATCTATCGCTGATCATTTCCCACGGGTATATTATTGCGCATATGTCAAATCTTCCATTATTGCTAGTAGCATTTACATTTGTCACAATCTTCTATCTCATGTCTGTAGAAGATCCATCACATTGACGGCAGATTCATCATCATTGGTTAAAAGGTTTTGTTGAGCGTTTTTGTGAAAGAAAATATAATTGCTAAAAAAGACATTTTTAGATAAAAACATGAATAGATTTTTCCAAACAATTATTTGAATGTTTCAAAAAAATGTTTAAAGAAACAGAATTAAATCTATAGCTAAGATAACAACTTTTTAAAAAATATTGGCAGTTAAAATAGAAATATACATCAACCCTAGCAAGTAAAAAAAGAAATGTGAAATTATTAGGTGCGACTAACATTTCATGTTAGGGTTGTAAAGGAGTCTAGCCGAGCTCTAGTCACCTTTATCTTGAACTTGAATTTGATTAGTTAATCGAGGTCAAGCTCAAACTCGAGTTTTATTCTATGAGTTCAACCGGTTCACAACCAACTTGTTTATTATGAAAGAGAAAAAATGTAATATGATGTATGAATTATTATAATAAAATGCTAAAAAAATGAACAAATTATAAAACAATATAAAAAATCACTTAATATAAGAAAGTAAGATATAATATTTAAACATTTTTAACAATTTTGTACTTAAAATCTCAAATTCTAATATACTTTGTATTAATATTTTTAAATAAGCCGGCTCACAAGCTAACAAGTCATGTCAGAGCTAGCTCAAGCTTGTGGCTCATTTGGTCATCAAACTCGGCTCACGTGCCATTTATCGAGCCGAGTCCGAACCAGCTCACGAGTCGACTTGACTCACGCACACCCCTTTTTCTCAAAAAATAGAAATCTAAACGCATAAATCATAAAAGAATTCCACTTTTTTTTCTAAAATGAATCAGATATATAAAAGTATAAAAGCCAAAAGAAAACATTCAGACATACCTTTTCTTCATCGCAAGAATTGGGACAATACTCCTGGTCAATAATAATCGGATTGCTAACCTCCTTCATCACAAGATCCGAAAACAATATATTCGTAGCAGATATCCGAGGCGAATCTCTCCACGTCTTAATCCTCACCCCGTTCGTTGTTCCAGCAAGCGTGCAATTCAGAACTCTTATTGCATTCACTCCCTTATCTTCACTGTTCTTTCCCAAGCTCCCAACACTGATGCCATGGCCGGGCCCACACCTGACTTTGCTGACCGTTATGTTTGAACTTCCAGGTCCGATGGAGACACAGTCATCACCGGAGGAGATTCTGGACTTTGAGATTCGGATATCGGATGAATATGCGATGTGGATTCCGTCGGTGTTGGGGCTGTTTCCGGGGGCGGTGATGTGAACGCCGAGGACGGTGACGTGCTGCGATTGGCCTATAACCATGTGGAAGAACTTGGAGTCGACAAGAGTGATGGCACGAATCTTGGCGTTGATCACGTGAAGAAACTTTAAAGTCTGCATGCATGCATGCGTGGAATTAAGTAATTAATTATGATATTTATTGGCATCATTTTATATATGATTCATGTGTATGGATGAATAAATCTGATATGAATATAACTTTGGCTATAACAATATTTATAATGTTGTATGCATGTTAATGTGTATTTTGACAATTCATCATTATCTTGATTGGTCTAATTTAATTTTGTTAATTTATGATCTATTTAGGATGAATGTAATTTTTTATAAAAGCATTTGTAAAATTATTTTAGGAATTTTATTTAGAGCTGTTGTTAAAAATAACTTTCTAATATAAAAAATTCTAGAAAGAAGCAAGAAAATATTAGTCAAATAAAATTATGATTGCAATCTAAAAAAAACAAAGCATTAAGAAAGCTATTCCAAACATACCATTAACCTGCATGCCACTCGTTAAGCTTATTGTTGATTTCAATATAAACAAATACAAATAAAAATCTAGATTAAAATATTAATTATTATTAAAAATTGATCAAAGTGAATTTTAAAATCATTAGCCTTAGTATAAAAAAAAAGTGAAATATACAAAAAAATAGCTTCCCAATCATTATTTCAAAACTCATTATACCTCCTCTTTGAAGGTTTCTGACTTCATTTTGGATGTCAAGTGGCCTCTTGATTTGTTATTGAATCTTATTCCTAAAAAAATTGTCAATATTATAATCGGAATTCCTCTAAATCCGGCTCTTACTGATATTCCTATCTTCAATTTCTCCCAAGATGGTGATTTTAATTTTAAGAAGATTGATTTGGAATATTTTTAGAATTAAAATGGACACCAATTCAATTTTTAATAAAATATGGAATCATCCTGGCCACCCCTACTTCAGACGGGTAGATCTGTTCGCTTTCATGTTTAGTTAAACAAATGTCGCTCTGCTAGGGCTTCATCCTAGCTGCCTCCCCCATTTCCATATATCTTCGTCGAGGTAGATCTTCTCTTTCGGTGTTCTTCCGTCCCTCAACATCTTTAGCAATGCGCCTTTAGGGAGAAGTTCCTCTTCTCTTCTTCTATAATGTTTGTATTCCAATCGACCTAGTTAGGTTCTTCTTGGGTTTGTTTTGTTTGTGCAATCTTTTCGGATGTTCTTGCTTTTTCACTCGTGATCGTTCCGCATTCAACTGTTCCTATGGTTCGAATAGCAATTAATCTTGTTTGATTGAATAATCCTGATTTTTAAAATAGTAAAAAGAATTATTGCTCATTTATTGATTTATTGAAGTCCTTTTGAGTGTCTCTTCTTCGATGGTTTTTCCTGATCTCAAAGCTACAACTCATCCTGAGTTACCTTCGTTTCGAATTTCGGAAGATGAGATTCTTTCTCTTGTGATCCCTTTTGATTTCGTTTTCATTGGTAAATTTACTTGTCACAGGCCTAGTCTAGATTCAATTTATTTTTTTTTTTTAATTTTAAGCTTAGCATTGATTTCTTGGTTACCCTTTGGATCCAAGACCTGTGTTGATTAAATTCATAAATTATATGGATTATAACAGAGTTTTTGAACATCACTCTTACTTTGTTAACAACTGCTTTATGAAATTGATTAAATGGTCACTATTTTTTGACATTTCTAATGAATCCTTCATCATCCCTATTTACGTTACTTTCCATAATATTTTTCCCAATTATTTGCTCCCTGTATATTACACGAATTGAGATCGTAATTTGGTCATCCTCTAAGAACTGATAACACTACGTCGAATGGGTCTCGTCCCTCGGTTGCAAGTGTTTTGGTGGAAATAGAGATTTCCAAATGTTATCCCGATAAGGTGCGGCTTGGGCTTGAAAATTTTGGGTATATTCGATATGTCGAGATGGAGGAGTTTCTTTGGTTATTTGGTTATTATGCTCCTATTTTGGTGGTGATTATGCTCCTTTCTTGATGGTATGCTTATTTGATTTTTGTTTGGATATTTGTTTACCTGCAGCTTGGATTTTGGATTTGGTCTTTGGATTCAATTTTGGATGACATAGGTGTTCTTCTTTTTGGTTATGATGATCATGCTTGTTGATAGAGTTTCTTTGGTGGGGGTTGTCTTCTACTAGGGTTCTTCTGTCGGTTAGCATGTTTGATGTTTCTTCTATTGGTCCTTCCTGTTTCTATTTTTTTTTTTTTCATTTTTACTTTTCATATTGTATTCTTAGTAAGGATCATTTGCTCATTAGGATTTTATTCTTATTTTGATTGTAGCTCTCTAAGCATTAGTGTGCATTTGATCCCTTTAAGGCTTTATAAACTTTTTTTTTTATGATTAACGTGTAAACCCGATCTACTTCAGCTTCTATCCTTACATAAAGAATATTGAAAGGTTTCATCTCTATTGATCATAATAGTCTTCAGAAGAAAGGTTTTTTCTTGGTATCAAGGTGTCAATGCTGCTCCCAAAATGAAACTTTAGATCATATTTTTTTAATGGTCTTATCGCCAATCAAGTGTCGTCTGATTTGGAGATTGATTTGCGTTTTAATGTGCCTTACAATAATGACAAATCCTTTTCTTTTCTACCTACTTGGTTTCAAAACAATATTAAAGGGCATATTTCTACCGTTATCCCTATACTTGTCTTTTGATAACCTTGGATGGAAAAAAAACTGCAAATATAACAACATTAAGATAACCCAAGAAAGGGTTATTAATTGTCTTAAAGTTAAAGTACAACATCTTGTTTCTACTAACACTATAGGAAATTCATCGATTACCGGCGACCTGGACCAGCGGTTCTGGAAAACACCGGCGGCTTTTCGGCGGTTCTTAAACCGCTAGAAAAAACTGCGCCGAAAAACATTACCGACGGCGTATTTCCGGCGGTTTGTTGTCACCGACGAGTTTTCGGCAGTTGTGCTGCTGGTTATTGTCCGACGGTATGACCGCCGGTGTTTCACCGACTGCTGCCCGGCCGTTAAACCAATAGTAAAAGTACCGTCGGTAACCTTCCGAAAAACTGTCGGTGATATTTACCGGCGGTTACAATCCGAGGAATTGCCGGCAGTAAGACCGCCGGCGTGTCGCCGGTTAACCGCCGGATACCGTCGGTAGACCGTCGAAAAATACCGGCGGTTATAGTACATTTCCGACGGCGTCAATCAATCGTCCGGTATCGTCGTTTCTGGCGGCCAAACCGCCGGTTGTACCAACGGCTAGACAATCGCCGGATAAACCGCCGTTAGTACCGGTGGCTAGACAACCACCGGTCTAGGCCGTAGGTAATTGATGAATTTCCTGTAGTGTAAGATCTTGTACCCTCAACATTTTGTGGGTAAGATCAAATGGTTTTTATATTTTATCATCAATTGCCCCATTGCTAATACCATATCAAAATAACTTTTATTGCAAGATAGATTAAACCCCATTCTTATGAATATAAATTTCTAATTAATTTTCTACCTTTTAAACTCACAACAATCAATGAAAGAAAAAGGTCATAACTTCACTTATCAATCAACCAACATAAAAAAAAAAAAGTTCAAAAATCATTTTAAAATAAATTGGACAATCTCCATAATCAAAATTATGATAAAAAGACATACCGGTGGAAGGCTATTTCCATGCTTATGCGGCCATATTGCACGACCCTGACCATCAAATGTGCCTAATCCAGTGACCAACAGGTTGCTCACATGCCGAAAGGCAATCCATTCCTTGTGCTTGAAGTTCCCTAGATTAATCGGAGCCCGAACCAGGCCCTTCACCTGAACCACCATAGGACTCTTGCAGGGTCCCCTGAAGGACACTGGCCCTACCAAGAAGGTACCCTCCGGAATCAGAACCCTACACCTAACCCTAAAGCTACCATACCATCCACAATCTGTCCCACAGGCTTCATTCCATGCCTTAGAAAAAGCTTGGGCTCCATCGCTTTTACCGTTAGGGGTGGCTCCGTAGCGAAGAACGTTAAATATTTTGTCTGTAAAGACGACTCCATCACAATTGTTGAGATGTGCTACTGCGCAGAGAAGGATGAACAGCAAACTGCATGATTTCATGGTTTCACTGTTGCTGCTGTTCTTGCCTTGTTCTCTTCCTCCCTTTGATCTCTCCCTTTTTTATTTTTTTTTATTTTTTTTCCTTTTTGTTATTCTCTGCCGCTTGAATTCTTATCTGTCGGTGTTTCTTCTTTCTGTTTTAAATTTGGAGGAGCTTATATGAAGGATAGTAGATGAATTGGTTCGTTCATTTATGAGGTTTTCTAATTTTGGAACCTGTTGTTGCTCTCCTTCGCACATAATTAACCATTGCCTATTTATGATTCTACTCGAATCTAGATCAGGTGTCATATTTTGTTACAGAATTTTGTAATTTTGCGTACTTCTGCCTTTGTTTTTTTAGATGGAAGAGTGCTTGATATGCTTGAAGTCTGAAGATATGAGATAATTTAGTTATGATGAGGAAAAACATATTTCAGTTTTTTTTTTTTTTTTTTTTTTTTTTTTTGACTTTTCAAAACAATTTTTTAGTACAAAATTTCTAATCCAAGAATATATTGTACTAAAAAACTATTTCATAATTTAGCTTAAGAACGCAACTCAATGTTGTATGATGAAAAAGGATATCTTCTCGTGTGATATTTGTTATATGTTAGAAAATTTATTGTAGCAGAGTATGTGTTTTATATTTTAGATTTTACAAAATTTCAATACACAAAAATAAATATTATGAGAGACTAGAATTTCTTTGGTATGAAATTCAAGAATAAGTAATATCATGAGGCATGGCACAGTTGTCTCATTGTTCTAATCTTAATATTAGGTTTGCAAGAGAACGGAGAGTTCGACGAGCTACGTACTCGAGGATCAACTTGATAAGTGCTCATTCGTGATCGTTTAATTAGTCAGTCGAACAAGCTTGAACATTTCGCAATACTCAATGCTTTAATAAACAAGCTTGCACAACTATGCGTTTGGCTTGATTATGCTTGTTGAACAAGGTCAATTAAAGCTCGTAAACATGCTTGATATTAGGCTGGATAGGAAGCTCGATAAAAAGCTCATGAACACACTTCATATAAAGCTCGTGAGCAAACTCATTAAAAATTCAATTAATGTTTTATATCAATATCGATTAATTCTCATTAAAATTAAAATATATATTTAATAAATAGATTTTTATTATATATTAATTTATATTAATTGATTAATTCTCATTAATATTATTACATATCATTTAATTACTAATAACAGTTAATTACTAATTAAAATATATTTTTTATTTGAGCAATCGGACGGACTTATGCTACTCCGATCCATCAAGCACAAAAAAAAAAAAACTCGCTTCTCAGCTCTCATGCTCAGTTGACCTAACCCTAATTAATCTTATGCCGCTCTGAAACCCTCTTTCTTCACGTGCTCGAAACCCTCCTCTTCTCCAACATCGTTCATCCCTAAACTCAATGTTGTTCGATCTACATGGATGTAGATATTTATCTTCATCATTTTCTCTCCTAACTCCCTTAAATCCTCCAAAACAATTGGCAACCATCTCGTAGGTTTATTCAATCTATTTTTTTGCATTTGATTCCTTTTATTTTTTGGTGGTTCCTCTCTTTAATGTAAATCACGGATCATGTAGTTCTGACTTTTGGTCTTTCTTCCCATCCTCAAAACCCTCGAACACATTTCACAATTTATTTTATTTTATTTTTTGTTTTCTTTCAATTTTTTTTTTTTGTTGTATTGAAATTGAAAACGACAGTCCACATCTTTGAATCAAAGCATTCGTTTTCACAAAATTAAAGCTTTGCGAAAAAAGCTATATTTTCAAATAGTAATATTATACTTTGAATTTGTTATGATGATTCGTTAATATATTGTCAAAAGCTTTTTAGGATAACTATTCCTACATCATCTTGCTGTTAGCATAAGTTTCTAGGAAGAGAATGTATTATGATTTTGTAATAATATTTGGTAATTTGTAGTTGCACCTCCATATAATGTACGTTATTTTGCAATGACATTTAGTTACTCACTAATTATAGTAATTCCTTTGAAAGATATGTCACAAAATTTACCACAACATGTTAATTATACAGGGGCAATACCTAATCTTCCACAATCACCAATATGTGATAATCAATTTAGTATTGGGTCATCTTCAAGCCCAACTATTGTAGCTATAGATGATTAAACTGAAAATTCTTTTGCTAAGAAAATAAGGAAAAAGACATCCTCAGTATGGCAGGAGTTCACAATTATAAAACTAAGTGATGACAATGAGAAAGTACAGTGCAATCATTATAAAGTGAAAATCACTTAGTTCACTATGCACGTAGAGTTATGGATTGTAAGGGACAACTGAATGTTTCTATCCATCCACCTATGGGCTTAAAAAATTTAGGCCCCGACCACTTCACGGCCCCTTTTCTTTCTTTTTCGCATTTTCGGGTTGTCGAGAGTTTTAATGCTTAAGTTCTAAAGTAAATTTTCAGAAGGCAGCTTGAGTTTTAAATAAGACACTACCTAGAGATTTTGCCATCATTTTGCAAGGACGTTATAATATGAGTTTAGGTTTCTTGTAGGAGTAAGCCCTTATATTTAATTACCCCTCCCGGTAGTGAGAGATAACTTTTGATTAAGGCTAGTCGTCAAACATATATGTAGGATCTGATGTATAGTATTAGCATGATTTGGGTATTTGAAAATTGAGTATTTAAAGTTAGAAATTCACCACCTTATACTTGAAGCGGATGGTGGGGAGAATGATCATGATCCTGATCAAGATCTCATAGTTTTGTCATCCCTGGATCATTGTCGGCAACCATGGGTTGCTTCATCCAAGGATATCATCTAGATCTGGGTGAATATTTATCTAAGGGGGCATATTTAAATCCACCTTAGCCAATAGAGGGCTTTGTGCCCCATCGATCATATCATATTATTTCATTGCTCAAAGATTTAATGCCTTTTAGAAGCATAATAGCTTGAACCACGACCATAATTAGTGGAGTCAATTGGCTACGAAACCACCCGATCAGAGTCATTTAACTGTGGTGCCATTTAGCTATGAAATTATTGATGTAGTTCCATTTGATGGATAAACTATTAGTTAGATGACACATGTCACATCCTTACTAGCAAGAGGCTTAATGAGTCTTAGTGATATTCTTGACCATATATTAGGTCTTTGTGATATGAAATAGTTTTTAATTTGTCCACATACCCCGATAAATTATTATGGTTGGATGGATTTTATTTTAAATATTTGATAATTTATTTTAAATTTGAATATTTAATTTTCGGTATTTTTAAAGTCTTGAAATTTTATGGAAATTTGGGAGGGATTTTAAATATTTGTGGTTCCCTCCAATTAAGACTTTATGTCAATATGGCCATCACCCGAGTTTTCATGAGCAATTTTATTTTTGTTGATTGAACCTTGACTCTACTTACTGGCCGACAACGGATCAAATTCAAATCTAAATTTATTTCTTAACCCACGCAGCATCTTCAGATGTAATGTGTGTACCTACGATACGCTCGTTGGCACCCATGCAAGTATATGCTTTTGCAAGTATTTTGTTAGGTATATTTATATGGTAATTGTACATATGCATTGGGTATGTATGATGCATATGCATGTTTATATATACATCGACACGTATACTTGAATGTTCACATAAAGTGTTATGCATATTATAATGCATATGCGTCGTATTTTTTTTATGTAAATACAATATTGAATGATGTACTTAAGTGAAACCCTCTGCTTTTTACAAATACAAGCGGGAGGGTATTTTTATCCTTGATGATAATTGGCCATGCATATACAAAAAATTATATGTAAATGTCATATTAAATGACATGCTTGAATTAAAATCACTGCATTTTATAGATGCACGCAGAAGGTCATTTTAAATTATACTTGTAATGTTAACTGACATACTTGAATGAAATCATCTGTATCCTACAAATGCATATATGAGGTCATTCTAAAATGCATTGCAACGTCGAATGACATATCTTAATGAAACCCTCTACATCCTACAAATGCATGCATGATATCATTTTAAAATGTAATTGCAAAGCCAAATGATATATTGAATGATACCCTCTATATCTTGCAAATGCATACATAAGGTCATTTTAAAATGTAATTGTAATGTTAAATTACATACTTGAATGATACCATGTACATCCTATAAATACATACATATTATAAAATATATATCAATGCATATTTTAATTGTGAGGGGGCGGGGGGGTTTCTACATAATTACTATAAGTAGTTTTGCACGGGATGATCATTTGGGAGATGTGCAAGTTTTATATGTATGGGCCTGTAAATGGTTGTTGTTCGCTTGTATGAGTGTTGTGGATCTTGTGGTCTGATGCTTTATTAGGCTTTATTTATCATGTATCAATGATATATTTTAGCTCATTTCATATATTTTATGTTGCTATTTTTTTCAACATTCAACCCACAAGGGTGTACTTCTGTCTGCAAATGCACTTTGTGCTGCAACAAGGTCTTCTACTTATCATTTGTAAGTAACCTAATATATCTAGTGTGATGACCTAGCGTAGTATGTTTATTACTTCAATCCACAGGTGGCCAAAAGTTTTTTACTAAAGGTTCCCTATTTCTGCTTATTGGTGAATCGTAACATCTCTCCCAAAATAGCCATGAGATACTTCATTATTCTGATGCAAGCTTTATCTTCTCGTTCATTAAGAGATCAAATCCATGAATCATCTAACCTTCCCTTAGACCAGACGAAGACACCCAAGTTCCATGAGGTTCATTTTGTAGTGGATGAGGCATCATAATCTATTGGAATCAAAGGGTTGACTGATGCACCATTAGATTTCTTGATTTTCATTTTATCATAAGGTAGTCACCTCGAAGAATGAATAGGACAAAGTAAAATATAATTTTTAGTATCCTAGTGACATTCTAACATCTGATATGCATATGGGATGTGGAGGTTTCTCCTATAGTCCTTGACATGGTACCAAGAGCAACTCCCTTCAACCCACAACTACAACATTTA